AAGACGAGTTAGTCACATTGTGAAAGTCTGTAAAATATTGTAGATTTACTTTAATTTTTCAATAAAGACAAGCCATCTTGGCATGATTGCGGATTAAAAAAAAAATAATAATAATAATTGTGAATTAAAAAAAATAATAATATAATTATACTAGTCAAAATTATATTATTTAGTAATTGAATTATTAAATTTAATAATAAAAATATTGTCAAATTCTTTTTTATTGTTATTACTTAATATATTACTATTTTAGCAATCTAAATACTTTTCTTGAGATATTTTAATCTAATACCTACTTAAATGAAAAACCAGTTAAATTGACTTATTCTATACTACAAATAGTGATAAAAAAGATTTTTTCTAAGGTTAAAGTAAAGCAAGAAGACTATTACAATTAATCAAATTCCTTTTGAAAAGAGACTGTTTTTAATAAGATTTAAAGAAGGCATAATAAAAAAATTTCAAAATTTAAAAATGAGATATAATTTTATTTATATAAATATTTCAATAACCAATAATTAAAATTTAATAAAATTTTTTTTTATAATAGTCCATAATATAAGCTTTAAAACTAATGCTTTTTATTAAATTTAATTATATATTAATAAAGATATAAGTATTTTGATTTTTTAAAAAAAATTTAACTTCCAAATTTTAAAAATAAAGTCTATCTTATTTATATTATTTTCTTATTAACAGGTAATCATATTTAAATATATTTTTTGATTAAATATGATTATATATTAATGATTAAATATACAGTATATTTTAATTTTTTTAAAAAATTTAAATTTGTGGAAATAGACAAATTCTAAAAATGAAGTCTAATGTATTTATACTATTTTTTTATTATTGAGTAATCAAATTTAAACAATCTTTTTTTTTATATAATAGCTCATGACATAAGCTTTGCATAAATATTTTTTGATTAAATATGATTATATATTAATAAATATATATATATTTTAATTTTTTTTAAAAAAATTAAATTTGTGAAAATAGACAAATTCTAAAAATGGAGTCTAATATATTTATACTATTTTTTTATTATTGAGCAATCAAACTTAAACAATCTTTTTTTAAAATAATAGCTTATTACATATGCTTTAAAATAAATACTTTTATATTAAATTTAATTATATATTGATAGAGATATAAATGGTTTGCTTTTTTTTAAAAAAATTAAACTTGCAAAAATAATAAAATTCTAAAAATAGAGTCTAATATATTTATACTATTTTTTTTATTATCAAGTGATCAGATTTAAACAATTTTTTTATATAATAACTTATAATATAAGCTTTAAAATAAATATTTTTTTATTAAATTTAATTATGTACTGATAAAGTTTTAAGTAGTTTAATTTTAGAATAAAAAAAAATAACCCAAATAATTTTAAATAAAAAAGGTCACCAGAAAATTTTTAAATGATATTTTTATCATCTTCACAAATAACTACCTATATAAATTCTTTAAAAAAGTAAATATTATTCCTTAAACTTGACTTGGAGTATTTCAGTACAATGACAAGTTAGTCATTATGTGAAAAATATGTAATATTGTAGATAATTACATGAATTTCTCAATAAATATTAAGCCATATGTCATGGTTGCAGGTTAAAAAAAAAAGTTTATACTATATAATAAATAAATTTTATATTGTTTTTTAAAAAAAATTACTCAAATTATCAAATAATACCAAAAATTATAAATATTTTTATTTTTATGATTATCTTATAACGTAATTTTATCTTAAATTTATTATATTATCTATATTATTTTTTTCGATTCACGTGACCAAACTTTCGGCAAGAATAAATATTATAATAAAAATGCAGTAAGTAGGTATAACTTTGACAAGCAATTGTGCATACAGTATTTTTTTTAAACAAGCTTTGCAGGATAAATATTGCAACAATATTTTCTTTAAAAAAAAAAAAAAATTATATACAGTATATTATTATTTCCGGTATTACTGTAATTACGCGCAAATAAAAATAGTCAAATTGGATATTGAAGTAGATCGACAAAGTATAGCATATTGATATAATGTCGCAAGTATCAATTGTTTAATCCCGTACAATTTTCGTCCATATGAAATAGAATATCTGGTTCTATTAAGTAGTATTTGTCAAATACAAAATTTTTTTAGACGAATGCATTCCTATTAAAAGCTTTGCGTCTAACAAGATGATCATAATAAAGAGGATCGTGATACAAAGAGGTGGCTGGCGTAATATCCCTGAAGCCCTTTCATTTTAAAGTCTAATGCTTAAACCTTACTTTCATGCGTGATAATTGTTATTCTTCGGCCCCAGTAATTAGGATGAAAACATTTTATATAATTTTCTTTATTCTTTTTATAATATATTGTAATGCAAATGTCGATACGATTGGTTATTCCAATGTTCTTTGATTGTGTGCGGGTTTTCCAAATTATCTGAATCTTAAAAATTAGAATTTTTCCACGGATGCGAATATGTATGCTAGGTGGATCCCGGGTGCATACGCAGGGAGGGTAATGAAAATATCTTTTTATCGTAGATCCGGAAATTTAAAGTGTAGTATTGTAATGGTCTTGTAAGAGAACGTATTATATTCTGTAAAGCGAGAAATTTTTTTAGCGATCAAGCTTTCTTCTACCGTACAATTTGATTTGATCTTGACCTTTACCTTTTTTGCCAAGGCCCTATATTATTAAAAGTCTACTAGGCAATAAAAGTAAATTCATTAAGCCATCCTATGGTTATATACCCCCCTTAAAAGTTTAGCATATACAGTATTAATTAACCTTTGTACGTATAATAATCGATATTTCACTACCCTCCACGCAACCAAAATATTGAAATAATCAAATTCAAAAATATTTATCAAGGTGACGTCATCAAAATTTTTATTATTTCAGTGATAAACAAATGATCGTGTAACTTACAATCTATGGATCATAAGGGTGAACCTTCCACTTTTGGTCAAGTCGTATTATTATTATTGACGAAGTATAGCCAAGGCGTGGTGCCAGGATGACTTTTATTTACAAATCCGACAGAACTTCAAAACATTATGCATTAATCAGTGCGCTCCTTTACAAAATTTGGTCTTTATTAAAAACGCATTAGGAAGAGCAAAGATTTTTGTAAAAAAACGCAAGGACTAAGCGACAGTAAAGCGTGTACAAAGTTTATTTATTTATTTATTTTCCCTTAATGTATTTTTGAAATTTACCATGTTCTCAATCGCAATTTCGGCACATTTGTTGGCCCATCTGAAGTCACAACTTCAAAAATATTCATCACGTCAAAAAAAATTTATATATACTGTATATATATATTATTTTATACAGTACATTCAATTGTAGGCCACTTTTGGAAAATGCGATGTGGGGCCAAGATCTCTCGTGGCACTACATATTAACTTACATATAAGTCTAGATATTTCCAAATTCGCCAATTGGATCATCTGATGCGAGATTTGCGGCTACGCGATATCGAGAAATTACGTACGCATTTATTTACAATACGCTTGTAAATTCCAAACATTCTTTAGTACCATATTCCCGACAATATATAATTAATAAAAATGATAAATACCAAAAGAAATTTCAAAGATATGCAAGGAACTTTTGGTGACTAATTACCGCAAAATAAAACTACAATATCCGAATACTTTGTATTACATTTTACATATTATTTTTTCCTTCTCCGTATAAATTGATGCAAAGGATGAACATGCAACATAATCTACATGGGCATTATTATTCTGTCGCGAAAAATTGTTGATTCCTTCAACGCCTATTGATATTATGCATTTCTATTTTGAGGCGATTATTTATCAAGCAAATATAGTATAATATAATTACCTTGACATATGCAATGCTGATAAAGTTTCTTGGTGCCTCCAGTACCAAACAATACCTTAATCGATAAATATTAGACGCATATACTTCGTTTTTTTTTTTTATTTATTCATATTGTTGATATTAATAATCAAGCATGCCAGGGACTTTGTCGTCTAAGTCCAAAAGGTGACACGCTCTCGTAAAGGCAATTGTCTATCCTTTAAGAGTTTCAACAATAGATTCAGAAATCCTATATCTAGATGGTATTATTTCTCTGTCGCTCTTCGTTTTTTTCTGAGCAAAAAAAAAAAAAATTCGCAAAATACAAATAGAAAGGATTACCCATTTCGTAGATTTCGAAATTTTTCCTTTCTTTCAAAAAAAAAAAATTTTTTTTTTGACCCAAGACATCTTTAATTTTAAAGATATATATTGTCTATAGTTACACACACATTGAAAACGACAAAACGCTAGCATCGTTTTAAGTCACATATAAAAACACTTTTCACATCTCTTTACAAAAAAAAAATGACTCAGCGAGTATCCAGGCAAGAAAAAGAGGAAAAGATTCCATCCGTTGATGTATCTATTTCAGAAGACGCAAGAGAGTCCAACAAAATACTTGTTGGAAAACAAGAACGATTGATTGATCTTGATGGAGAGACCGCAGAAATTCAAACGATGGTTAGAAATATTATCAAAAAATACCCGGACATTAAAACTACCATGAATCTTCGTGAATTGTGGACACCATCTAAGCAGAGCAGAGCCAAAAGTATTCCGCGCCCACAAAATGCCTTCATGCTTCTTCGAAAGGATGTATCAAGGGAGTTTTGTAAAGCCAACCAATCTCTGTCAGTTCGCGATTCTTCGGCAATCGCGTCAAATAGGTGGAATAAAATTTCCGACGACAAAAAACAATTTTGGATAGATTTGGCTGAAGTTTGTAAGAAACTGCATTCCTACGATTATCCAAACTATAAATATTGTCCTGAAAGAAATAAGCCATCAAAATCGAGGAGAGCGGACACCGGAAGAAAAGGAAAAGACCGGAAATCACGCAGGGAACAAATTGCACCTTACGCCCTTAGACCTTCAAAAACTCCGAATATCGTTGAGCCTCTTGTTGTACCAAGTCAAACTTTGGTCAGTGGGAATTCGGCATCCGCTCCAGCAATCTTTACAATCGAAGATTACACTCAATCCATACCTTCTATAATCAAAACTCCAATGTGCAACATAATTTCGTCGCCTCCAAATTACCATTACAATCAGCAGTTCAATGAAGAAGCGTCACATGACTATCAACAAAGACCTATCCACAATGATGTAAAAATTCGATCTTCTGGCGTAGAAACCTCTCCGCTATATTCAAACACAAATGCATACGCGATATCCACACACAGACCGACTACTCGATCATCGGCTGTCAGTGCCCGAAATAGACAAGCGATTATTAACCAGACTGCACCCTATCCATCTAGGCATCACTCTGCATCAAATTCGCCGCGCAAAATAATAAATGCAATATCTCACACTGCTACGCAAAAAAAGGAACTCCGAAATAAAGAGGCAAAGGATAGCTCGTATCATGGACAATCGATATCCAAACAGCATGATCATACAATTCACACGATGATTTCACCGACAAGGCAACCTTTAAATAATCAGCAACAGTTTATTTATGTTAATTCGGCGAACCCAGAGATACCCATTATTACATCCCCAAGCTTTAGAGAAAGACGTGATTCGGTTACATTCTATAACACCATTATTTCGCCCACTAATGTATACAATTCAGTGGATCAACTAGATGCTGGGTTAATTATGGCGCAACAATCATACTTGACTTCCCCTGTACTACATGAACAAACTCCATACATTCCAACCACTACATACATGAGACCCGCGGAGAGTCAACAAACATATGTCGATGCTACCCTTTTTACTACCTCACCATCTCAACAAACATTTGATCTTGTAGAGTCATCCGCGCTTTATACGCAACCTCAATTTTTAAATCCCGAAATAATGATGCCCACCACTCAACAACCTTATCAATATCCAACTGATTATTTGCCGGTCAGCTCCGTGCACTTACAACAAACGAACGCAGGCCGTACACATCAAACCTTTTTAGCATCACCACCTCCTCCGCCAACTTCCGGGACCGAATATTATTATCAGCCATCAGAGGACTTACAAGTATTGAGTCACCAATTAGGGTTAACCGAAACAATTGATCCTGCTTTACTCTATCAAAATGACCCCTTATTTACTAGCTTTTCTTATGGAAGAGATCTAAGTCCAAGTTTATGAAGAAGATAAACAAGCCAAAAAAAAAAAAAAAAAAAACACCCCCCAAAATTTTTTATTTGCACCCATCTTCCTACTAAAGAAAAACACTGACAATTACCCTCCACTTTATGCAAAAATGGTATTATTTTAACGTCAATTTTATCAGACACCAAATGATCTGCTTATTCCCTTTACACTAATTTCAAAGAGATTGCAATTACACTCACAGAAGGAGATGATACTTTTTAATAAAAAAAACTATCACCAAAGAATGGTCGCCTCACTGGAGGTTCAATAAAGACATCGGAATGGATTACTTCAGGAAAGGGAGCAATACCTTTACGTCGAGAATAAATCACTTCAAAGGAGACGCGTCGGAATATTATCTCAAATGGAAAGAATGCAGAAAAAATCATCCTCACCAGAGAAAGACACGTTTTTATAAAGCTATTTTTTTTTTCACAAAAGAGAAATTTTCGAATAAATCACCCCTTGCCAAGGAAGGACGCATTTGAATTACTGCCTTCAAAGAATAATCAATCTTCAAAGATACTTTGTGATAATTAACATACTAAGAAAGGAACCGGGAACAATCAACCTTCGCCAAAAAAATGGACACCTCGAAACAATATACTCACTAAGGAATGGATATCTCGAAATAATTTATTACCCATGCTAAAGAAATGACACTTTAGAATAATTAACGGACACGAACAATCTACCCTCGTTAAAGAAATGACAATTTGGAATAATTTAGACCAACTAAAGATAATTTGGAACAGTTTACACCAACTAAAGAAAAGATAATTTGGAACAGTTTACACCAACTAAAGAAAAGATAATTTGGAACAGTTTACACCAACTAAAGAAGATAATTTGGAACAGTTTACACCAACTAAAGAAGATAATTTGGAATCATCTATGCCGACTTGAGAAAAGAAAAATTGGAATAACCTACATCGACTTGAGAAAAGAAAATAGAAAATCAGAACAACCTAAAGAAAAGACAATCTACGCCGACTAAAGAAAATACAATTTAGAATAATCTACATCGACTGAAGAAAAGAAATATCGAATAACGTGCGCCGACCAAAGAAAAGACAAATTGAATAACCTACACGACTAAGGAAAAGAAAAACTGAATAACCTACACGACTAAGGAAAAGAAAAATTGGAATAACCTACACCGATTTAAAAAGACTATTTAGAATAATCCACGCCGACTAAAGAAAAGAAAATTTGAATAATTACCGATTAAAGAAAGACAATTTAGAATAATCTACGCCGACTAAAGAAAAGACAATTTGATAAAATCTATATCTACTAAAAAAAGACAATCTGCATTTACTAAAGAAAAGGAAATTTGGGATAACCTACACTGAC